GTAAACACTCACTGATAGATACAGGTCTGTAAACACTCACTGACAGATACAGGTCTGTAAACACTCACTGACAGATATGGGACTGTAAACACTCACTGATAGATACAGGTCTGTAAATACACACTGACGGAAACAGGTCTGTAAACACTCACTGACAGATATGGGACTGTAAACACTCACTGACAGATACAGGGCTGTAAACACTCACTGATAGATACAAGTCTGTAAACACACACTGACAGATACAGGGCTGTAAACACACATTGACAGATACAGGGCTGTAAACACTCAATGAGAGATATGGGACTGTAAACACTCACTGATAGATACAGGAATGTAAACACACACTGACAAATACAGAGCTGTAAACACACATTGACAGATACAGGACTGTAAACACTCACTGACCAATACAGAGCTGTAAACACACACTGACAAATACAGGACTGCAAACACACACTGACAGATACAGAGCTATAAACACTCACTGACAGATACAGGACTGTAAACACTCACTGACCGATACAGGGCTGTAAACACTCACTGACCGATACAGAGCTATAAACACTCACTGACAGATACAGAACTGTAAACACTCACGGACAGATACAGGACTGTAAACACTCACTGACCGATACAGAGCTGTAAACACTCACTGACAGATACAGGACTGTAATCACTCACCGACAGATACAGAGCTATAAACACTCACTGACAGATACAGGTCTGTAAACACTCACTGACAGATACAGGACTGTAAACACTCACTGACCGATACAGAGCTGTAAACACTCACTGACAAATACAGGGCTATATGCACAAACACGCAAACACAGAACTGGAAGCACACAACTGATGGGCTATACAATTTGGACTGAAGGATGTGTTACCATCTTGTAGACTCTATAACAAAATTATATTTGTGTAAATATAGTTACACACTTTTGTGCTGTATGTTGTTACTAACGCAATAGATCCACTATAACCTCCCTGCTCTGGTGTACAATGCCTCGATTAATAAAGGCAAATATCCCATATGCCTTCTTCACCACCTGACCTACATGTCCTGATGCCTTCAAAGGATCTATGGACATGCATACCAAGGCCTCTCTGACACTTCACATTTCCTAGGATCCTGATATCCATTATGTACTCATTTGCCTCATTAATCCTCCCACAATGCAACACCTCACACTTTTCAGGATTAATTTCCATTTGCCACTGTTCAGCCCATCTGATCAGCCGCTCAATATCCTCCAGGAATCTAACACTTTGCACCTTACTGTTAACCACATCACCGACTTTGATGGCATCTGAGAACTTACAAATCATACCTCCTACATTCAGGTCTAGATCATTAATATACACAACAAACAGCAAGGGACCCAGCACTGAACCTTGCTGTAGCCCACTGGACACAGGTTTCCATTCACAACCTTTGACCATCATCCTCTGCCTCCTGCTGCTAAGCTGATTTTGGATCCAATTTGTCAAATTGCCCTGAATCCCAGCTTTAGAACATAGAACATAGAACATTACAGCACAGTACAGGCCCTTCGGCCCACGATGTTGTGCTGACCTATTATCGTACTCTAAGATCAAACTAACCTGCATACCCTACATTTTACTATCATCCATGTGCCTATCCAAGACTCCCTTAAATGTCTACTACCACCCCTGGCAGCACATTCCACGCACCCACGACTCTCTGTGTGAAGAACCTACCTCTGACATCTCCCTTACATCTTCCTCCAATCACCTTAAAATTATGCCCCCTCGTAATAGTCATTTCCGCACTGGGAAAAAGTCTCTGGCTATCCACTCTATCTATGCCTCTCATCATCTTGTACACCTCTATCAAGTCACCTCTCATCCTTCTTTGCTCCAATAAAAAAAGCCCTAGCACCCTCAACCTTTCCTCATCAGACCTGCCCTCCAGTGCAGGCAGCATCCTGGTAAATCTCCTCTGCACCCTCTCCAAAGCTTCCTAAAATCTTTCCTATAATGAGGCTCCCAGAACTGAACACAATATTCCAAGTGTGGTCTAACCAGCGTTTTATACAGCTGCAGCATAACCTCACAGCTGTTAAACTCGATTCCCCTGCCAATGAAAGCCAACACACCATATGCCTTCTTTACAACCCTATCAACTTGGGTGGCAACTTTGAGGGATCTATGGATGTGGACCCCAAGATCCCTCTGTTCCTCCACACTGCCGAGAATCCTGCCATTAACCCTGTATTCTGCATTCAAATTCGACCTTCCAAAATAAATCACTTCACACTTTTCCAGGTTGAATTCCATCTGCCACTTCGTTGCCCAGCTCTGCATCCTGTCAATGTCCCGCTGCAACCTACAACAGCCCTCCACGCTGTCCACAACTCCACCAACCTTCGAGTCATCAGCAAACTTACTAACGCACACTTCCACTTCCTCATCCAAGTCATTTATAAATATCACAAAGAGCAGATGTCCCAGAACAGATCCCTGCGGAACACCACTGGTCACCGAGCTCCAGGCTGAATACTTTCCATTCACTACCACCCTCTGTTTTCTATTGGACAGCCAATTCTGTATCCAGACAGCCAAATTTCCCTGAATCCCATGCCTCCTTACTTTCAGAATGAGAGACAACAAGGTGCAGGGCTGGATGAACACAGCAAGCCAAGCAGCATCATAGGAGCAGAAAGGCTGATGTTTCAGGCCTAGACCCATGAACCTACTATGGGGAACTTTGTCAAATGCCTTGCTAAAATCCATGTACACCACATCTATTGCTCTACCTTCATCAATGTGTTTTGTCACATCCTCAAAGAATTGTGAGGCGTGACCTGCCCCTCACAAAGCCATGCTGGCTATTTTTAATCAAACTATGCTTTTCCAAATAATCATAAATACTATCTCTCAGAATCATCTCCAATAATTTGCCCATCATAGAAGTAAGACTGACTGGTCTGTAATTCCCAGGATTATCCCTATTCCCTTTATTGAACAATGGAATAGCATTTGCCACCCTCCAATCATCTGGTCCAGAGCATTTTTTTTAGCTTTTTCTAAGCTTTTTGTCCAATCTCCCATGAGTGACTTTGTCAAATGCCCAAATGAAGTCTCCACTGCAGTAACACATCTGCAGTAAGATCCTCAGACTGCACCTCCCAAACCCACACTACTTCCATCTAAAAACACAAGGGCAGCAGATACGTGGGAACACAACCACCTGCAAGTTCCCCTCCAAGCCACTCACCGTCCTGACTTGGAAATGTATCACCATTCCCTCACTGTCACTCGGTCCAAATCCTGGAATTCTGTCCCTAATGGTATTGTGGGTCTACCTACAGCACATGGACCAAAGTGGTTCAAAATGACAGGTCACCATCACCACAAAAACCGAAATAACTGCGGATGCTGTAAGTCAGAAACAAAAACAGAAGCTGCTGCAAAATCTCAACAGGTCTGGCAGCTTCTGTAAAGAAAAGATCAGGGTTAATGTTTCAGGTCCAGTGACACTTCCTCGGAACTGGGGAGTTGAGTTCTGAGGAAGGGTCACCGGACCTGAAACATTAACTCTGATCTTTTCTTTACAGATGCTGCCAGACCTGCTGAGTTTTACCAGCAACTTACATTTTTTGTCACCATCATCATCCTCACTACCCACTGGAAAGGTCCTGGCATACTGGCAAGTAGCTGATGTTGT